GCTGAGCAGGAGGATCATCTGAGTCCAGGAGGTCAAGGCTGCTGTGAGCCGTGATTGTGCCGCTGCATTCCAGCCTGGGTGACAGAGTGAGACTCTGGCTCTAAAAACAAAATGAAAAAAAAACAACAACAAGGGCTAGTGTGTTAGGATTGCTTTGGTCGCAAGTAGCCAAAACTAGCTCAAACTGGTTTAAACAAGAAAGGGACTGTTTTGGCTCTCGTGTCAGAGAAATGCTGAGGACTTGGGCTAGACCTGGGGGTTCAGATGCTGCCGCAGGGCCTTAGCTCTGCTCCCTCTGGCTCTGCTGTCCCCAGTGTGACAGGCATCCTCTATGTGAAACTTGTGGCGTGAACTTCTCCTCACAGCCAGCCAGTGCCAGGGGCAAAAGAGTCTCTTCCCTGATGGCATGTGCCACCAGAGCTCTAGAACCGGGTATCCTCTGTGGTGTCGTCATCCCTGAACTATTGTGTGGTGAGGGTCAGGCAGTGCTGTGGCTGGCCAGGCACGGGAGATACACCCATCCCATCACAAAGATGAGGGGAGGGAAAGAGGCAATTCTCTAAGGGGAATTCGTGGTCCTGTAACAAAAGAGGGGATGGGGTACCGGGTCAGCAAGAACATTCTAAGGTGTACTCCTAAGGTGCGCCAGGCACTGGACAGTCTCGTGACCGTGAGCTGCTGCGGCTGGTTCTCAAGGGAGACAGCTGTCCCCGTTTTAGAGAGAAGGGCACCATGGCCAGGGAGATGAGGGCCTCTTACATCTCAGCAGCAACAGAACTGGCTCTGGGACCTGAGGCACGTGCTCTCTCACCAGCCTCCAAAGTCAGGACACGACAGAGCCCCGTGCTAGGACAGTTCTCATTAAAAGAATTAGATCTGTGCCTAAAAATGCAGACATCAAGTTGTGCTCAGAGGTTGATTCCAATAAGCCAATTAGGCTTGTGCAGATTCCTTGTACTGAACGTACAGACCTTTAACAATTGTAAACAAGAGGTCAAGCAAGAATTGTGTAAGCGGATTTTTTTTTCCATTTATGGGAATATGCTTTTTGTTGGTTTTATGAAAAAAAATTTGATGCTCATTCTTTTTTTTTTTTCTTTCTTGTTTTTAAATCTGCATTGGCAAAGTCCTTGACAGTCATCTGAACTTTTCATGAACATCCTCAGGGACAGAGACCTTGGGTGCAGTATTTTTTTTTCTGGGCCTCAGTTTACCTGGAAGAGGAAGCCATTAGATTAGCTGCCTTCTGTGGTCCCTCTCAGCTTGGACTTCCTGTCAGTGGTGCAAAAGTCTCCTTACTGGAGGTCCTGTCCCTCTTCAAATGTTTCCACACAGCAGCTGGAGGGATATATATGCGTGCATGGATATTTTTAAACAAGTAACCTGGATCATGTCACACGACTCCTACCCCAGCCCTGAAAACTTCCATAGAATAAAATTCAGACTCCGCTGTGCGGCCCACAAGCCCCTCGTCGTAAGCCTCCCCCAGTCCCCTCTCCCCAAGCCTCCTCCTTCCTAGCCTGTTCCT